CCCCCCCGGACCGCTGTCTCCGCGGGCGGCGGCAGGGTCGGGATTCGTCCCGGGATGGAGCAGAGCCAGGGGGAAACCGGCCGCCCCGTCGGGGTGGGGGGCGGTCCCCCCAAATACCAACCGGACTGCAGTTTTGTCCCCCTTTGTGACAACTAGCACCTTGTTGATAACCCCCCAAGAATTTACCCCGTTGTCGAGCTGCCCGAAGCTCTAAAGTACGCGCAGCAGTGAAGTAGCTTGTGAGCCACCAAGCTGCAGTTCATTAGCTCCGCTTAATTTGCCAGATCTTTTCCCAGATAGCTCCTGAGCGGGCCGAACAACTCAAGGGGATCGGCGCCAGTGGGAACTGAGCTGTGAAAAGTAAGCAGGGATTCCCAGTACCTGCCTGATAACTTCAGCAGACCCCGTGTGTGAGCCGGGGCTGGGCCGGGGTGTCTGCCCGAGCAGGGCCGGCCTGGCAGCTCCTGGGCTTCAGAGATGGTCTTGCCAATTCAGAGGCACATACATTAAAGCACCATCTTGTCTTCACTAGTGGCTATATGAGTATCAGAAGCTACTGGATTTTTTGCTTGCTCATGGTGAAGTAGAAGCCTTTTTGTGGGTAGTGGAGTTTTAAAAGTGCATTTTCAGGTCTGTTCCAGATGCGGGACAACATGATAGACACGGGTTGGGCAACCAGCTTTGTGCTTGAGCATCTATTGACTCATGTAGCATTCGGCAGGAATGTCAAAACCTAGAGGGCCAGGTAGAGGTTGTGGCACTGCATACACACATTTTCCACAGCTGTTAGCATGTAGAGATGGTTCACGTGGTTTTGGACTGAGTTCATCAGTCTCTATTTGATAGGCAGGGCTTTATATGTAATGAAAATGTAATCAGCTGAGCTGGGCAGTGAACTGTCTTCAGAAAAGGACTGTGTTTCCAACAGAGTATTCTGTCAATTCAAAATACATGCTGGGGCAATAAAAAAATGAATTATCACTCGCTGTAAAAATTCTCTGCAGTGCAGAGCGCATCTTCTAAGCACTGAAAAAGGCATGAGAGGGACTATGCAAACCTACTATGGTGACCTCAGGTGTCTTCAAAGAGCATTGTCAAGTTGTGCAACACCTGACATACTTTTATTGTTTCACAGGCAAAGCAATAGCTCTGTCATTCGATCCAATTCCCCAACAACAACATCTCAGATTATGGCCAGAAAGAAAAGAAGAGGGGTATGTTGCGTTTACTTCTTTTCCCGTGTGACAATTTGCGTGTGTGCTGTGATTTTGCCCTTTTTAAAAAAAAATAAATTTAATGTGTTTTGTTTTTTTGGGAATAGATTATAGAGAAAAGGCGCCGTGATCGTATAAATAACAGTTTATCAGAGCTGAGGCGGCTTGTGCCAACTGCTTTTGAAAAACAAGTAAGCCCTTTTTTTTTTTAATTCTGTATCTCATTTGGCAATGTTAGTTCTCTTGTAAAACTCATTAAAATAATATTGTGTGTGTCCTGATCTGGCACAAAGCAGGCATTTCAATAAAATGCTTTCTTGTGGTGAAACTATTAGAAACATAATTCATTATAAGGCTGAAAAACATTTCCATTCTTTGGTTTGTTATTCCCTTAAGGGTGTTCATGTTGCCTCTGTTCTTTCGATGAATTCCAGTAGTGGTTTTGTTAAAAATGCACTTTACTCCATATTTTTTAAAAAAACCCAAACCCAGCACAACTCCCCCAATCTGTATGTCAGTTAGCCCTCCCTCTAAATCTTTACATATAATCTAACTTGCCCGCATTTTAAGAAACCTTTACTTCTTAATCTGTAATTTCAGTTGCAAAAATAATCAATTCGGTTTCCTGAGAAGGGAACAGTCAGCCTGGATTATGTTTTAAGGTTACTCATTAGAACCAGGGCATTAGGAGTGGAAATAGGCCCATGTCATGTGAGCTGGTGAAGTCAGGGATATGTTCAGAGACTTCCAGTGAGAAAGTATTCAGTCAGAAGGCTGGAAGGATCCCCCTAACTTTGATTCTGCTCCTCGGTCATGAGATTACAGACTAAAAAGTTAGAATACAGTCTATCCTGTAAAAAAGGATATTTTGTTTATGCCATTTAAATTTAATTATTTATTTACTTTTCCATATTTTTATTTTTTGAGCTTTGAGTCAATATTTAGCCTTTTTCTTGTTTTACTGGAGGTATCTAGAGACCTATGGATATGTGCAGTTAATACTATGTTTTCGGGAAAAGGAAGCAGCTGAAAATGAAGAACCTGTCTTCCTTGTTAAATAAGGAGCAGAACGCAAATTTTGAGAGGAGGATTGCGAGGTGCTGAATGTCAGCGGTAAATGCGAGGCAAGCACTGCGCCATTTTAGGCCTCTTATTTCCCTGGTCTGAACAAAAGCTAAAATGAAATTTTAAATATTGTCATAACGGTGAGAGCATCACTTGCATCACGTGCAATACGCTTTTTGTAACTACTAGTTGTAACTGCTAGTTGTAACTGTGCCCTTCCCTGTGCTCTGGCAAAACAGGGTGACACGTATTTTCAGCTAGATGAACAGGGGCAAGAGACAACAGTTGTTTGTCCCCTTTTATTGTTTACTTCTTGAAAACCACAAACATTATAAAACAAGTTCTACAGAGCCTTTGGAAATTACCCAGCACCATGCAGTTTTTAGCTATTAGTCACTCTCACTGAGACGGCTTGTACTGTGTCTATGGAAAAGATGAAGTCTGAGAAAAGTACAGGATGTAGTCGCATGTAAAAGGGGGAATTCTGACCAAAAATCCACATGTGCACCAACCTTTGTGGGAGGAAAGAGCTGAAGGCAGTAAGGAGATTGAAGAAAATGTATTGGCATAAAAATGAGCGGGCGCTGTATTTTGTTCAGAAAGCCCCACCATTTTTCTGCAGTATGCCAAGGACGAAGTAGTCAGTCCTCTTCCAGCTCCTTGACATTCAGCTCACTGAGGTTTCCAAGTTGGAGGTTTAGTTTCGCTTCCGCCTGCCTCCCCCATCACAGCTCTGCTCTCCCGAGTCCCTCGCAGGGATTGGGAAGTGGGGCTGTGGAGGAGGCTGGAAGTCTCACCTACCTTGCAGGCTGCAACCTGGGGGAAGGCAGTTGAAGCTGCAGGGTGCCTGGCAGCGCTGATGAGGCCCAGATGATAACTGAGAGAAAAATTTGGCTTTGCAGGATGCGATCGTCTGGTGGCTGTAGCTTGTGCAGCCCTGGTTTTAACTGATGCCAAGACATGATCTCTTGCACTGGAGTAACATTTGCAGGGTAAACTCAGTCATCTGGGCGTGCTCCAGACATTCAAGGGAATGCCACCACACTAAATAGGTTTTTTTAATAGATGAATATTCTAATACTGCCTTTCAAGTTGTATTTTATACTTTTCCAACACCTATGGTAGCTCTGTGAGCCACCCTCAGCAACAGAAGTTTTTTACTGACAGAGAAGCTAAAGTATTTCTTTTTCACAGTGTTTAGCTTCATGTCCTTCAAACTAGACCTCTCACCAACTTAAAATACAATGGACTATGCAGTTGCTTTTTCAGTTGAGAATAGAATATTCAGCAGCCAAATGACATGTCAAAAATTAATAGGTGGTTAAGAAAGGGGGATACTTCTGGATATGTGTCCACAGGGACACCTACTGGTAACAGCAAAAAAAAAAAAGGTTGCAGCCTGGTCTTAGTCCATCACTGTGCAGACCTGTCCTGCCAGCTCTCCATTTGTGTTTGTTATTAAAAGGAGAGTCCAGAAAGTTACATTTTTCTCTCATTTCATGAAGATGTTATCTTTATGCTGTCTTTAAGGCCAGAGTTATGCTGAGATACAGCCTTAATAAAGCAAAATTGTGCTGCTGCCACTGCTTGTGTAGCTGGAGAGGAGACAGCATTAGTCCTTAGACAAAGTCTGGGAGGCAGATGCTCATGAAAGAATTAAGCAGAGACTGTCCTAATGATAGGGGAAATTGAAACCATAAGGCTGAGCTCAGTGGAAAGTATATCAAATTGAAGTTTCTAGTACTTGTAAGCCTTTATTTATATGAGTCTCTTATCTCAAAGGGATCTGCCAAATTAGAAAAAGCGGAAATACTGCAAATGACAGTGGATCATCTGAAGATGCTGCAGGCAACGGGAGGTAAAGGTAAGGAGCTGATAGTTTCTTTTCTAATACTTGGGGAAATCTCAGCGGAAAAAAAAGTGCTTTGAGAATCTGTGATAGGCGTTTCCAGATTAAAGGAGTGGAAATCAATGCTAATGGCAGGATTGAACTCGTGGGAAAGAACTACTGGGACAAAAGAAGCACTTGACCCTGGGCTTGTGTTTGCTTTCATAACACTGTGGGAGTAAAGGCTTCATTCACAGGCAGCCCAGTCAGAGATTTGTTTGGGGTTTCCAAAGAGCACTGAAATCTGCACAGGGAGACAAAACAAATACACAAACACCAAACATAAACAGGAGGTTTGTGGCAACAATTGTGTAGCACAAAACTGATGCTAAACCTCATTATCCAACAGCAATACCGAAGGAAGTGGATGGAGAGGAACTTTCATTATTTTACTTATATTTTCTTTGTTCTGGAAAGATTTTTTAAATGCCAGGTTAGACTGTCTCATTCGGCAGAACAAACCTCAGTCCTGCTCTGTGCAGCTCCAGCTGTCTGTAAAACAGACAAGCAGATAGCTAGCAGCACTCTGCACTCATGCTTAGCTGCTGGACGTGTGTGTCAGAGGTCTAGGTAGTTCCCTGTTAGTGGGTACTGGCATGACGCAGGCCCTGCACTGGCTGACCCGCTAGATCAGCCGGCTGCCGGGAGGCGAGCATAGCTCGCTTGTGCAAGCTGACAGTCCTGAGGCCGGAGGCCAAATGATTTCAGCCACCCACAAGGTATTCTGTGTAGTCATGATTTTGGACCTTATTTGGAGGGCAAAACTTGCACGTCTCCTGAAAGCACAGTCCCATGTCCCATGCCATCGACTGTGATTATGGTTCAAGTTGTTGCAATGGAAACCAGCTGATAATTCCTTAATGAAGTGAGCCATGTAGGTGAAGCCTAGGAAAGAATTTGCTGCTGCTCTCTCTCTTCCATTTTTTACTACACTTTTTAGCCCATGGCTTAATGACTGCTTCTCTGTGTACTTTGCAGTTATTACAGAATTCAACTTTGAATCGGTGCGTGCTTAACAACAGATAGTTGTAGGAAAGCATGTTGAAGGCTGGTATTCTGTTATTTGTGAAAATTTACACCTAGCTGACAATTCATATTTTATGATTGTTAAGTGGCTTCTCTAGAAGTCTATTTAAGCTCTATTTAAACTTGTTCTATAGGTGGTGAAAGGAATTTTACTGTCCTTCAGATAACAGACGTACCTCTTGGTTGCTTGGAAAATGTGCAGAATTTAAAAACAACCTTATTTTTATATCTAAAAACATCCTTTTAAAAATGGTATTTAATTGGTAAAGCTGCACTCTTCAAAGTTACGAAACACCAGAATTGATCGTGCTTGTACAATTTGAATTCAGATCCTCTGTGTGTGTGTTTGGTGGTGCCGTCTTCAATTGCGTGGTTGCCTGCTGGCTTTCCACGCACTCTTGTCTCACTTGGTGCACAGGCTGATTGATGCTTGGCTGCTGAGGGAAGTTTTGGTTGTTTTGCTTCATCCTCTCAGCACGACGTGCAGCTCAGCTGTCCCAGCTTAAGCCCCTCTTCAGGCTGCACATCATTCCTCTAAAGAGCTGCAGCAGCTCCCACCCGTTTGATGTCTGCACTGACAGAAGGAGGGCCGCGAGGTGACCCTGATCAGAGACCTCATTTAATAGGAATCCTTCTTCTCTTGCCTCCCCACCCAAAAATAATACGTGGGGATTATTTTATAACTGGGTCAGGATGGGTGGCCCAGCTAAGTGGTGGCAGGCATGAAGTGCTTGGGACCGGAGCTGCCAGGTACAGAGGTGTCAGCAGAGCCCTGGCCTCCAACTGCAGCCAGACAAACTGGATTTTGTTAGCAGTCCTGGGTCTTGCAGTCCCTTCCTTGGTCTGCTACTGGCACTGTGCCTGTCCTTGCCCCAGGCTGACACCAGAGTGCCAGGGGCTGCTGCAGGGAAGGACGAAGTGTCGGGCTGCAGGGAGCAGCCACACTGGCTTATACCCAGAGCTGCTTTCTATACCAGGGTCCACAGTGGGTGGCATGTCAATGATCGCTTCACAAATACTGTGAATTTATCTTCTCCTTCTGACCTAGAGATAAGAGTAATCTCACTCCATGGATTAAGAAACTTCAAGAAAAAGGGGCTTACAAGTTAGTATCAGGCAAAGTTTAAGCCTCTGTTTCCTGCTTGCTTAATGTTTTACTTTGCAATCTAAGTAACAGCTTTAAATATAATTTCTTGGGGTGTTTTTAAGGCAATTGTTTGTTTTATTTCCAAGTGTAGTTATTCCCACTTTGTAACTCATCTTCCAAGCCAGGCACTTTTTTGGATCAGCAAAAAAATGAATTCCATCATTTTTCCTATGGATGAGAGGTCTTACCACAGCAGGGAGGAATGGGTCCTGATACCCTTAAGTTCCCCCACATCTGGGGAGAGCTCATCCTCTTCCTCCTCATGCAGACATGGAGGACACCCACGATGGTGAATGCCTGGGGCTAGGAAAGGCAGGGTGGAGTCAGCTGGCACTCAACGTGCTGAGCCCAAGATGGACATGGTGGAAGAAAACCCGACATAGCTCCCATCCCTTCTCTGCTTTTCAGAGCTGCCCAGGCAGGCAGGCTGCCACCTCTGAGGTCCTGTGCAGACTCTGGGTTTCTGCTGCCCTGACAGGGGTGCAGGCAATGCTGTCCTGTTCATGTTGAGTTATTATTTTGGCCTGCAGCCACGGCTTTTTACTGACCGTGCAAGCAAACACAGAGTAGGAATAATTTGTCAACAGCAAGTAGCTCGATGGGACCTCGCTGTTGTTTTATTGCAGCTTCACTGCAAATTTAGCTTGGGCGACTGGCACCTGGGTCAGCACATGTGGGGTAATATAGCTTGAGTGACTTAGCTGGAATGCTGTGTGCCGAGCAGGTGGTTTACCAGGATAGCTGAATGAAAACTGAGGCTACCGTTTGCTACAAAATGCTGGTGTGTGTGAGTGTGAGTGGTGGTGGAAGATGTTCTTGGGTTTTGGAAAGAAACAAGAAACAACATTTTTAAGTCTCTCTAAGAAGGGGGAAACCAGCAAAGGGGAAACCTGGAAAAGATAACTATCAAAATCAAAACATAATGGAGCCTGGGAGTCCCAGCTCTCACCTCCCCTCTGTTTTCATGGCTGAGCCACCAAGGGAGACTTAAGAGGGAGCCACGATCACTGGGGCTTTGGCATGGCTCATCACAGAGACAGCAGCTCAGACTCAGGGGCCACTGGTGGAAACCACATCCCCTTTGTCTCCTCCAGTCTAGAGGGAGGGATGTTGGGAAGCCCTGGCTTGAGCCACGCGCTCTCAGGACTCCCAGGCTGGCTGAGTCATGGCCAGAGCTGGGAGATGGCTTCGGCTGTGCATCAGCCCCTCTGGAGCTGCTGGAGGTCCTGGAGCATCTGGCGCAGAGGCAGTCCCCATGCCAGGCTGGCTGGCACCCCAGCAGGTACCCTGCTAACTCGCCATTGCTGGCCTGCCTGGCTTTTGTTTCTCAGGAAGACAAAGCTGGAGTTGTTTCACTCCAACCACAGTGCTTCCACAGATCGCTTGGTCGCAGTGGACCTGGCAGAAAAAACAGATGCTGGGAGTCAGTGCTTGCTGGGAGTCAGTGCTTGCTGAGACAACTCCTCAGCCTCTTGTGCCCACCCATCTACTGGCTGAGCTGGTGTTTCTCTCGGGCTTTGCACACCCTCAGATGAGCAAAGCAGCATGTGAAAAAATCACTGTCATAATTTGTCAAGAAGGGGTGTATGGCAGGCAGGGGATTTGGGCCAATGTCTATAAATTTGCCAAAGTTAAATCTATGAAATCTATAAAATATATAAAACTATTGTGGGTGTATAATGACAGAAAGACTCTTTTCTTGATTGAAAGTTGATTAAAGTGAAAGCAACTATCTAAGGTACTAGCATTTTTCAGAAAGACAAATTATTTCATGCCAGAGAGTGCAAGGCCTAATGCAGGTATTGCTGCTACATTACTCCATAATAAGGTCATTTGATCTTTAAACACTAACACACATCATAGTCACACATGCCTAAACCATGGATTAAGAAACTTCAAGAAAAAGGGGTTTACAAGTTAGTATCGGGCAAAGTTTAAGCCTCTGTTTCCTGCTTGCTTAATGTTTTACTTTGCAATCTAAGTAACAGCTTTAAATATAATTTCTTGGGGTGTTTTTAAGGCAATTGTTTGTTTTATTTCCAAGTGTAGTTATTCCCACTTTGTAACTCATCTTCCAAGCCAGGCACTTTTTTGGATCAGCAAAAAAATGAATTCCATCATTTTTCCTATGGATGAGAGGTCTTACCACAGCAGGGAGGAATGGGTCCTGATACCCTTAAGTTCCCCCACATCTGGGGAGAGCTCATCCTCTTCCTCCTCATGCAGACATGGAGGACACCCACGATGGTGAATGCCTGGGGCTAGGAAAGGCAGGGTGGAGTCAGCTGCCACTCAACGTGCTGAGCCCAAGATGGACATGGTGGAAGAAAACCCGACATAGCTCCCATCCCTTCTCTGCTTTTCAGAGCTGCCCAGGCAGGCAGGCTGCCACCTCTGAGGTCCTGTGCAGACTCTGGGTTTCTGCTGCCCTGACAGGGGTGCAGGCAATGCTGTCCTGTTCATGTTGAGTTATTATTTTGGCCTGCAGCCACGGCTTTTTACTGACCGTGCAAGCAAACACAGAGTAGGAATAATTTGTCAACAGCAAGTAGCTCGATGGGACCTCGCTGTTGTTTTATTGCAGCTTCACTGCAAATTTAGCTTGGGCGACTGGCACCTGGGTCAGCACATGTGGGGTAATATAGCTTGAGTGACTTAGCTGGAATGCTGTGTGCCGAGCAGGTGGTTTACCAGGATAGCTGAATGAAAACTGAGGCTACCGTTTGCTACAAAATGCTGGTGTGTGTGAGTGTGAGTGGTGGTGGAAGATGTTCTTGGGTTTTGGAAAGAAACAAGAAACAACATTTTTAAGTCTCTCTAAGAAGGGGGAAACCAGCAAAGGGGAAACCTGGAAAAGATAACTATCAAAATCAAAACATAATGGAGCCTGGGAGTCCCAGCTCTCACCTCCCCTCTGTTTTCATGGCTGAGCCACCAAGGGAGACTTAAGAGGGAGCCACGATCACTGGGGCTTTGGCATGGCTCATCACAGAGACAGCAGCTCAGACTCAGGGGCCACTGGTGGAAACCACATCCCCTTTGTCTCCTCCAGTCTAGAGGGAGGGATGTTGGGAAGCCCTGGCTTGAGCCACGCGCTCTCAGGACTCCCAGGCTGGCTGAGTCATGGCCAGAGCTGGGAGATGGCTTCGGCTGTGCATCAGCCCCTCTGGAGCTGCTGGAGGTCCTGGAGCATCTGGCGCAGAGGCAGTCCCCATGCCAGGCTGGCTGGCACCCCAGCAGGTACCCTGCTAACTCGCCATTGCTGGCCTGCCTGGCTTTTGTTTCTCAGGAAGACAAAGCTGGAGTTGTTTCACTCCAACCACAGTGCTTCCACAGATCGCTTGGTCGCAGTGGACCTGGCAGAAAAAACAGATGCTGGGAGTCAGTGCTTGCTGAGACAACTCCTCAGCCTCTTGTGCCCACCCATCTACTGGCTGAGCTGGTGTTTCTCTCGGGCTTTGCACACCCTCAGATGAGCAAAGCAGCATGTGAAAAAATCACTGTCATAATTTGTCAAGAAGGGGTGTATGGCAGGCAGGGGATTTGGGCCAATGTCTATAAATTTGCCAAAGTTAAATCTATGAAATCTATAAAATATATAAAACTATTGTGGGTGTATAATGACAGAAAGACTCTTTTCTTGATTGAAAGTTGATTAAAGTGAAAGCAACTATCTAAGGTACTAGCATTTTTCAGAAAGACAAATTATTTCATGCCAGAGAGTGCAAGGCCTAATGCAGGTATTGCTGCTACATTACTCCATAATAAGGTCATTTGATCTTTAAACACTAACACACATCATAGTCACACATGCCTAAAAATTTTCACTAAAAGCAAGAGGAAAAACCACTATGCCGGCTTGGAAGTGGACAGGACATTATTCCCCCAAGAAGACTACTCTTAAACTAAAAAAGGAAAATTCGCGAAACTGGAAAATGTTTTTGTAGTTGATGAGCTGCAACTTAAGCAGTAGATGTGGTGCTAGACCCTTTTAGAAAGGGAATATCTTCTCATGTGCATTTAATAAGACATTTTTTTTTTCCAATGCTTTTTTGTCCCAAGCCTGTGGAGCTCCAGTTGCTGTTTGTTGAAATACCTCATGGGCCATATGACTGTCAGTCTTCCATCTCCAAATTAGAATGGCATTACATAAAACGTCTGCTCAAGTAAAGCTTTTTATTGTGTGTGTGCAGAGTCATGACAAGATGTTTTTAATTTGTAGTTAAACAACACCGTATGTCATATTGTCTTAATGACCCTGTGAAGTAGATGGGACCCCAGCAGCAGTTACAACAACGATCTCACAATGTCAAGAAACAGTTTGAGGGCGTTACTAGGAATGCCAGCATAGGGGAGAAAAGGCAGGGTAGTACATGCAAGCTGTCTGATCACCAGTCTGTTTCTTTTTGTGGATAAATGTCTAGTCCACACAGACTCGCTGGGTCAATACTTCAATGCAGCAGCTTGCTGAGGAATTTCAGGAGAGGCATCGTATATCTTTTTAAGTATCACAAGTACTTATGGACTTAATTCTTTTCATTTGTATACTGTCTGCAAAAAAAAGCCCTGAAGATTATTGCATTACAGGGATGGTAACACAAATCATTTACAGATCAGAGGACAAACTTCTCACTTTGCAAATCTTAACCCATAAATGGGAGGTCTGACAGCTGAGCCAGGGCCGGGTCAGCCATGTCTCCTGATGTTAGCTGGGAAGCCAGCTCCACACTCAGTCCCTATTTTGCCCTCCCCTTGCAGGTTATTTTGATGCTCATTCACTGGCCATGGACTTCATGAGCATTGGATTCCGGGAGTGCTTAACAGAAGTCGCGAGGTACCTGACTTCAGTGGAAGGTCTCGACACATCTGACCCTCTGCGCGTTAGACTCGTGTCTCACCTGAGCACCTGCGCTTCTCAGAGGGAAGCCGCCGCCATGACGTCCTCCATGGCCCACCACCACCACCCCTTGCACCCTCACCACTGGGCAGCCGCTTTTCACCACCTCCCGGCTGCTTTGCTGCAGCCGAACGGACTCCACGGCTCGGAGGCCACCCCATGCAGACTCTCCTCGGACGTGCCCCCCCACGGCTCTGCCCTGCTCACCGCCACCTTCGCCCACGCCGACGCTGCCCTCAGAGTCCCCTCCGCTGGCAGCGTTGCTCCCTGTGTCCCCCCTCTCTCCACCTCCCTCTTGTCCCTCTCGGCTACTGTCCACGCTGCCGCCGCCGCAGCCACTGCGGCCGCCCAGAGCTTCCCCCTCTCCTTCACCAGCGCCTTCCCCATGCTTCCCCCCAGCGCGGCCGCCGCTGCCGTGGCCGCAGCGACAGCCATCACCCCTCCGTTGGCCGTATCGGCCACCGCCAGCCCTCAGCAGGCTGGCAGCGGCGGGGGCACGAAACCCTACCGGCCCTGGGGGACTGAAGTTGGAGCCTTTTAGGTGCCCCCCTCTCCCGTCCCAATCCGGCTCCCTCCTCACCCTCAGCACAAACACCCACCTCCACATGCACATCCACACGCACACACGGGCCTTCAGGACGGATGGGATTGGACACGGCATGTCCTCCCTGCTCAACCTGGCTGAGGGGCCACCTGCACCCAAAGGGCCTGAGAGATGCCAGCCAAGGAATGGTACAGCACTCCTCATTTCAGGCATTGGAGAGGACATGGGATAGTATCTCCTTCTTCTTCCCAGTTTGTTTTGCTGGAGGCACCTTGAGGGAGCAGCGATGGCTTTCAGAACAGCGTGATCACAGTGGCATGTAGAGGTTTCCTGGGAAATATGTAGACACTAGAACTAATAATTCTCCAGCTATGCATCCTTGTTTGGCAGAGGGGTAAGGGATTGCACCGGCTGGGTCTCCCAGGCTAGAAAAAGAGTTTGAGTTTCATAAGTGCCTGACATTGAAAAAAAAAATAATAAAAAAAATTATATATATATGTGTGTTCTGCTAAAACAAGTAACATTGCACAAGTATGGAAATGGTATGGGAGAGAGGGGAGAGTCTGCATTCAACTTCAGCATTTGTGCATCTTCCCAGGGAAGAGCATGCTCTTCAAGGGGAGAGGTTTTTTTAGCCAAAAGATTGCCGAGGAAGAATGTTTAGTTAGACAGGCCTAGTTCTTGCTTCCGTAGTTCACTTTCTTTGTACAGACTTGCCAAATTGTGACATCTAGCATAGCATTGGTAAAAGCAATTATCTTATCAGTGCTGGGATTAATGAACGTTTCAGCACTGCCTGTGAGCCTTGAGGCACCCTTATTTTTTGGCTGAAATATGGTGCTAGCTCGTATCTGCACAGTGAATTTGTCATGCACCCAGAAGTAACCAGCTATTTACAGTGTGCACACTTGGATACGGTTGATTCATGCCAATACAAGAGACTCAGTGTTGCAAGGGTTCAAATTAACTTATTTAGCTGTATTTGGACATTTAGCTGATTCTGTGCAAGATCTTTCTTCTTTTTGCTATCAACTACAGGGAGAACAATCACTCTGGATATGAATGAAGTTATGGTAGGGACAATTTTTAAATTGGCTATTAACACGCCAACATTGTAATGTGGGTTTGATTCCAAACCAAACTGAATGTATTAAAGGGTATGTCAGTAAATTATTTTGTCAATACCCAGAAAACTAGTGCTGCATAAAATGGTTTGCTCTCATTTTTTATTACAGTGACTTAAAATAACCTGAGTATTTTAATACATCCAGTCAAGAACTAGAGATTTTATGTAAAAAAACCCAACAAAACACAGCATGTATTATTATGCACTTGATTTCTCTGCTGTGTGGAGAAAGCAATAAGCATTGAGAATGTTAAACATTATGCAAAATATACTTTAAAATATTTGTTTTAAAAATACTGTACCTAGTTGGTCTTTTATGCATTACTTTGTTAACCTTTTTTCTATGCAAAAGTCTTTACATATCACTAATTAAATGAAGTCCTTTTTGACTGAGTTTTATGGATGATTTGTTGCAGTTTTGGTTTGCTCTTGAGGAATGCTCGTTGACTCGGTTAGATTCTGCCACTGGTAACAAGCCTGTCTGCTGTGCTGTCCTCTCCTGCTCCCCTTGCTCAGCCAGGGACACCATCTCATGCAGTGGGCTCTGAAAGACGCAGGAAAAAGCAGTCAGTAAACCATTTGCTTTTCAGGCTTGTAAACTGGTTCTGTGTTGCAGGTACACTTCATGATAACAAAGTCATCTGTCCATCCTGGAGAGCACCCAGACTTGTTGGGGTTTTTCAAGTTCAGCTTTTCTTCAGATTCCCACTAAGAGCTTCTGTTTAGAAGCGGAAAATTTTAAGTGAATGACAACATTAAATATCTGGATTGAGAGAGGGTAGTTTTTACCCCCAGTTCTAGCCTTCTAATATACTAGTTCTCACTGAGGCGAAGGGTTTGTTATTGTTACATCTGGGATCTGCGAAGTCTGTCTGCAGAAGGTGTGTAAAGCTCTGTCCGTAAGGATAAGCACAAAATCTTACATGTCCAAAAGACACAGAAAGTTTATTATGCCCAAATAACAGCTGAGAAGACAGGCACAGAAATAAGGTGACCACCCTTCAGCCAAACTGAGAAACTGAGACTTCATCTGTTGTCAGAACGCAGCCTCAGGTCAATGGCTCACTCCCCACTATCCCTCTCCCCCAAATGTAAAACTGTAACCCATTCTTGCCTGCATCAGCTGGTCTCCAGCCCCAAGGTGAGGAGGGATTGTGATTGGCCTGAACAGCATGCTGTCCCCATGGAGAAAATGGACAAAAGAGGGGAAAGAAGGCTCTCTGTTCCTGGGCTGTAAATCATGCTTGATCTTCTTCCAAGTTTCGTTGTTTTGGAGGAATGGGACATTTTTTGTTGCAGGACATAAATGCTGTGCTGCTGCACTGGCATGTTGGGCAGCAGCTGGTTCAGGTACCATTCACTGTCCATCTGAGCAGTTTCAAGAATAAGGATGACATCAGTGAACTGGCAAGTACATAAAAAGCAGGCTTTATTTACATGAAAAGAGCAGGTTGCAACCCTATTTGACTTAAACTGTTAATTATTAACCTGCCCTGTAAGAGCCTGGTAGGAGGTCTCTCATGCAGCACATCATGTTAAAAATGGGCAGTCACTGACTTGGCTCCACTTAAGGGCTTCAGTCTAATTGATGTGCCCGAAAACATTACCATTTGTTTCCCTAAATGCAAAAAAAAAAAAAAAAACGGAGTTTGAAAAAGGATTTCTTGGAGACTGATTAGATGAAAGCATAATCGTTTTAGCATCTTGAAATGACACACCATGGATGGATTTGTGCAGCCTGTGTATTTGGGCTTATCCCATTTTGGCTCGGATCAAACAGGCCAAGCTCATGGACACTGAGTTGCTGGTATCTCCTTTCTTCTCTTGTTTTGGTCTGTTGTAGTTTTGTTTTATTTCGTTTTGTTTTAACCTGAATCACCCGAAGGGACAAGTGCGTGAGGCAGGAGCTCAGGCTTTATGCCTGGTTTGTCCTTAGCTTCTGTTGTGAATGTTACCCCTGTGATGGCAGATGAAGATTTCCCAAGTGAGAAACTAATGGAGAAGAAGCATATGTCACTTGTGCTGTTGGTTGTAGCTGTGCTAACAGGTCAGAGCTGAAAAACTCTATGCAATTTTTAAAACAGAGCAAGGACAATATGGTTCCTTGGCATAACTGAGATCCAAAAGGCAGGACTCATGCCTGTGCATGCAACTTTACTTCAGCCCTTTTCTATCATTATCTGCATTTGTTGATTAATGAACCTGGATGAAGAAGGAAGTTTGTAATTTATATCATTTAGGACCAGATCATAGCACAAGAAAGCAAATCAGGATGCTTGCTCAGCAGTAAGCAGTTGGCTTTGAGTAACTTTTCAATGGGTGTGTTTGCAACCTTAAATTCCAGTTATCAAGAGGATCAAAGCAAGTTATGCAATTTCCTAGAATGTTTTTCTTAAGAGGAAAAAGCTAAAAACCAATTCTGTCACTCAGCATTAGCAGGCTCAAAACCTTAGCCCTCAGCAGTGCAAATAAAAAGCACTTAGGCTGCTGTAACTGCAGGACTAACAGCGTCACACAGCACTGAGATTATTACCCGAGAGAGATGGGCAGTTGAGAGGCAGTGCTGCCCGTCCTCCCTTTGCTCTGATTGCAAGTGGAGGAAACCCAGCATTAGGTATTGCCCCAGAAGAAAAACCAGCTACTGAGGCTGAGGGCTGAATGCATGTATTCAAAGCAGAATAATCGTATCCTGGCTGTGACTATACCTGCCTGAGCAACTGCCAGGAGGTGTCAGTTCATGCTCTTGCCTCCTTAGTCTGAGCTTCCAAAGTCTTTGTTTGCAGTTACGCTGAAAGATGATACTTCAATCAGTATGGTATGAGATATGTAAAGGGCATTTACTGAAGCTTGGGACTTGTATATCGGCAGATTCTTAGGGCTATTGTAAATAGGAAATTTCTTCTTCATAACAGAAAAAGGTCACAAACATCATCAGAAGATACTACTGAAGTGGGAAGTGGACTGTTAGCAGCTTTGTAGTCACCAATCTCATTAGTTTTCTGCTTCTATAGGTACAGATAGCTTGAGATCACACAAATGAGGACCTAAGTGCTTTAGTAGTCACAGGCAGTTTTATCCAACTTCAAGAAAAGATGAAGAAATCAGTATAGCTTTGTTTGCAAGCTTTGTGTCCCCAGCCTCATTTGCGTGAGGCTACTGCCTGAACCTGAGTGTAATGCTACTCAATGCTGAAGTTTTTACTCATGGTCTGTTCCTCTGCTTCACCTTTTACATAGCAAAGACTTGAGTTTTGGAAGCCAATGTGAAAAGGCCTCAAAAGGGATGGCTGCAGCAACACATTTGGCCGTGACCAGAAATGATAAGCAGAGGAGCACTGGGCAGGTGCTAGAATGCTGGGATCTCAACTTGAGGGTAAATCCAATGGTAATTACTACTACTGGAAGATTTAAAGTGCTATTAATGTGTGAATACAGTCACTTAGTCAGTATTCCTTGGCCTAAGTATTTGGCATGTCCTAAGCTGGGCTCTGGCTGTCGCTCTGGAAGGTGCAGGTCTCCCTTGTGTCCTATGCCACCTTTACCTGTGCAGATGCCCAGGAAACCCAAGGTTACTTAAGAGGCAGTAAACGTGTATGGCCAGGCAACTGGATTTCTCCTTCTCTATCTTGGCATCATCTTTGCAGAGACAGGATTTGCAGCTTAGTAATATTTTCAAATTATCTATTTTTTTTTCAAAGAATCATCATCCAGGAAAACAATTGGACTAGATGATCTCTAAAAGTCCCTTCCAACTCTGACAATTCTGTGGTTCTGTGAGAAGTGTTTTACCTGTAAAGAATAACCATAGACAATATTCTGCATTACTGTGTGGTAAGTGAAAAGCTAATAAATTACTACAAGGCAATCCATAA